TGTAAAAAATTTAGAGATAGAAAAAGTCCCTGGACACAATGGCACAAGAGTATTGTTAATAAAAATAGCAGTATAAATCAAACTATACATATATAGATATAATCACACGACAGGAGGAAGAACAAAATTACGGAAAATTATAGGAGAAACGGACAAAAGATGTCTTAGAATGCTATTCAATAGAAGCAGAAGGAAGAGGAGACATCAATTAATAAGATAGGCAGTCTGCCGAAGAGATGGAATAGGGGAGGCCTATGTCAGAAGATAACCACACCAAATAATTGCTAAATAAAAAAATGTTTATTGTTTTCTTACCAATTATTTTTAATTAAATTTTGCTAATGACGGTTACAGAAAAACGCTTAATACATTACCAAGGACTAGATAAGTAGGTACTATTAACGTGCCGCAAGTATTTTTCACGTAATTAAACAATCATACTTAGATGTGTGAATTAAAATTCAAAGGCAAAGTGGCGCCAGTTATTCTACAAAATTCGTCCAAAGACTCTTCTAGCGAAGTACATTATATATATTGAATACATTATGTATAATGTATAAAGACTTCAGGAAGTTTCTTATGAGCAAGGTTGCAATCCGTAGCCAATTTCTTATACAACATTATGTATTTTAATACGCCTTTAGCGATAAATTGATATTACAGCAGCCGTGATTCGACTTATGATTTGTTTATATTTCTGTAAAAGAAAATCAAGCCAGTGGCGCTACAAGCATTGGACTTAGCGTCAAATTTCTGTATCTGTTTCGTGATCATTTAAAAAATGGAAAGTATGGGATCAGCCATCTATGCCTGACACACGCTGACTTTTTCTACTACTATCTTCAGCGTACGAGCATACAATTGGTGCACAGCCGGTGATTGAACTTCATATATGAGAGTCGCGATCTCAATCCAGTCGCTAACATTTTCAAACCAAAGACATTTGTATGTATTGTAGCGTTTTCAATCGCAATTTGAGACAAAACTGGCTGTTCTATAAACTATACCTCCCTCAATAAAACGACTATGTAACACTATTTCTTGATAGCTGTTTAGAGTTTTTTTTTTTCCTTTAAACGTTTCCAGATTATTCCCCGACTATGTAGTCGTCGGAGGTGTTAACAAGCTTACATAAATGTATTAGTAAGCCGAATGTTTACTTTCTATGACTACCTATATTACTATATTACTCTACTACTACCTATTTCTCTTGACAACCTCCTGCATGACCCTCACAGCAAATCCCAAAAAGATGCCCCTCAACCTAACATTGAGCATTATTCTCTCCAAACTCGTCTCCGTCACCCTCATGCCCATAGCTTGCTCAGCGTTATACCTGTCGTATCCATACATGGGACAGTCGGTCAGAACATGCAACACTGTCTCTTCAGCTGCATCGCCACAAGGACAGGCAGCACTTTGTCTAACCCTGAACCTGTAAAGATACGACAAGAAGCCACCGTGACCTGTCAACATCTGAGTAATCAATCCCGTTGGTTTCATTTGTTTAATTATCGAAAAGGCCGAAGCAACATTTGGAAGGAATAACTTGGTTATTGCAGCTGTTTCGCCGTCTCGATATCTGTGATTCCATTTTTCTATCGTGTTTCCACGTAGACAGTTCTTCAAATGCGATATGGGAAATCTATTGTACACGGGTGCCTCTTCTAGATGCGCAGCTTCCTTTGCTAGTTGGTCTGCTCTTTCATTCCCCTCCATGCCCGAATGCGCTTTAACCCAAAAAATATCAATTTTTTTGTTGATTAAATGCGCTTTATTTATGTTCTTACGAATTTCAACTACAAGGGGATTGAAAGAGCGACCACCCGCAACACTTTCAAGTGCACTTCGGGAGTCGCTATATACGCCGTAGGATGTTTCTGGGTGACAAAGGATCCTTTGAGTCGCTTTAAGAATAGCCACCAGTTCAGCTTGATACACGGAACAGCATGAAGATAGTTTCAACTTAAAAGTCTCAAATTCGGCACCATTTTTCCATAAGGAAACGCTAGCACCGACCAATTCGTCTACTTTACTTCCGTCCGTATATATCTTTACTGCCGGTGTATCTATTCTAGGACCCTCTTGTTCTCTATAGGCTATAAATTATAAAATTGATATCAGGTTCTTTGGAGGGGTGAGGAATACTCATCCACGATACTCTATGCTCCAGGTCACCTTCCAATTCAGACTGAAACTTCAGCTCTTTAGAGTTTAGATTTTAACGTTTCTCAGATCAACACAAACTATCCAAAAAAACTCAGTTTTGTATCGCCGACACACAACGACCACTATTTAAGCTATCGCGGATTATGCTTAAACGGAGTGTTAAGAACATCCATAGCGCTGCACTTGCATCATGAGCACACCCCACAACCTATCGTACATGGATACACTCACACCATCACTACACAGCCGAATTATTGATTTTTGCTTTTGTAAATGTTTGAACCTGTATATATTATGTATTCCATTTTTAGCTATAATAATAATAATTTATTTATTGCAATAATATGGTACAAAAATGTGTAAGGTGGTACACCGTACTATCGTTAGTTCGCTTATTCTGCCACACACAATGGCGCGCAATTTTATTTGTCTTTACAGGAATTATACATTTTACATTATTAGTCATATATGAATTGGTCAATTCTTATATTATTTGTATCGTGCATATCATATCATACTTTATTTAATTTATATCAACTACAGTGACTCACACAAATAATCATTTATTTTATTTTTTCCACAAGTAATACACCAAGTCGATTTTTAAAAACTCTAGTCGGAAGATCTTTTAATAAGTATTATTAGTATTATTTATTTAGTAGTAGTAGTAATACTGTAGGAGTCAAGGTAGCTGGAGGAGTACGAAACGAATAAACCAAACCAACTTTTAAAAAAATCCTATCAATCTATACAAATTTTGACTAAACATATTACTTCCGTAAAGGCGGAGAGCCCGTTGCACGGACAGTGGACATTCAAATAGCTGTTTACGTTCTTGAACCAGTGATCATTTGCAAATTATACTCTTTGGCATTACGTAACATCGATCAGGTAACAGGTGTTTTATAGTCAGTTTTTAAATGATTTTTACAATACCTTCAACTATTTTGTCGCCGGAAGTAATATTGTGAAATATTTATTATAATTATTACTCATGTTTTCTGATAATAGTTTATAAAAAGAAAATAGAGTTTTTATCACAATTATAAAATGATTATTTATGTAATTAAAATATTTTATATACAATTAATATTTAAATTCTATAAAATAAATAGATTCGTTTACATATTCTAATCAAGTAATATCAATTTGCAATTTCATTACACCTACCTATGGCATATTACCTAGGCTTTAGAACTTATAATTGTTTTTTTAATATATAATATCCATTTTATGACAGTTTCCATGTCTTCAGGCGTAAGATGCTGCAGCCACATCCGTCACCAATATTAACAATTGCAAGGATATATTACCTACATGAAATTTTTCAATTGCATATTTGAATTTCTTAATTTAGTACAGTTTATCGCTTTTATTTTTAATGTATAATTTCTTTCCTCTTTTATCATTCTAATGTTTCCATTTAAATGGTGGTGTTTTGTTATTGTTCCTTAAAAAAATATTACTTATTTACTTTTAATAGAACACACATTTGTCACTCATACGTTTCATCTCTCTTTATATTGCAATGTTTTTTTAGTCAGGAAGAGGAGTATGTTTCGAATTAGTTTAAAGATCAACATCTTACGGATGATAGTCGAGAGAAAGGAGTGCCCCTATTTACGACACTGCTCCGACATCTCCGCAGAGCTTTGTACCTGATAGTTTTTATTTCACTACTTTTTCCTTATTTTTACTAATTCTCTAACATAGATCTTAAGAAACTATTGTTACTAACTCACTAATCAATCAATGGACTGTATTTGTCTGATTAATAAAAAAATATTATTATTATTATTATTAAGGTACACTAACACACACTAAAAAATCATATGCACGTTAGTATGTCAAATTCGTTTTCTTACCCTAAGCGAAAACAGCTAGTACTAGTGCTAGTGCCAGAATCAGAGGCTTACGAGATTGCTAGGTAAATCTCTTTTAATAGCAGGCTATAAAACAGCTATTCGTAAATAAGCATATTTATCGGTGAGATATACGCGACTTCCGCAATTTGTAGAAACAGCATCGGAAGCTGTATGCGTTGACGTCTTTTTAACCAAGAATATTAATATAAATCCAATTTAAGGAAATATTATTAATTAATGAAACTTGAAGTTGTTTGTACTCGTATTTCTTGTTAAAAATATGATTACTCAAAATGTGAAAACAGGCTTCACGCCAAAACCGTTAGTCGATTAGTAATTGCAACTAAAATTCACGGCAGAATCGATTGAAATTTATCGATATAACACCTATTATTCACCTCATAAATTTAATCGAATCGATTTAATAGGCCGAAACTAATTTTTGAATATGCCGTTCGTCACGCCCGTGGTTTTGCTAGTTTCACAGAACAAAATATTTAGTTCGCGTTTCAAAGGTTTATCGAGTTTATATATCCGTTTAGGTTTTATATAAAAGGGTTGTAGTTTAAAGGGTTATTTTTACATATATTTTACGGTCATCAAATTTTTGATAAATTTTAAATTTATTTGTCAAAATGGCGCACCATTGCATAATATGAAGAAATATTTTTTTTGGCGTACTGTGTTAGATGTATGAGTTTTAAAATGTAAGTAACTGTTAAAATTGTTTTCTTTCAAAAAATTTGTAAAACTAATAACAACCTAAAAACTAACGAAGTATTTTTTCGTTTACTGATTAAATTGAGTATCCCTACACATCGAAATATTCTAAACAAGTTCTTTAATAACAAAGGTTTTTTGAAAAGTATTTAAAAAATCCGGCTTTTACCCTAATAGAAGTGTTAAACTGTACATTTATTCTAGTTGAAATTTGGGGAGGATATATCAAAGCTTGATACTTAGGACCTACCTTTTTCCATTCCGCCGTCGCCGTTTCGTTGCATACACAGTTCCCAATTGGCTCGTGTGAGGCTGCGGCGGCCGGAGCAGGCTTGAGTCCACGCCATCGTAGGCTTGCCCGCTCCAGCCGCACAGAGCTAGCTTCGACTCTGTGCCTATCTTGACGGCAGATGGCTCGCACTCACCATGAAAAGCGTTGGGATACACTGTGTCCAACACTGATACAAAGTTTGAAAACAATTTGGCGTTTTGCGATCACTGTTCGGTGAAGTCCCGTACGTTTGGCATTTGTTTCAGAGAGTGTTGAGCGGTGACAAATGTTTCTTTGGCTGCGTTTGTTCGCATTTGTGTCTCGCTCTTTTGTGACGTAGAAGAGTGAATAAAGGATATCTTTGATAACAGCGCGTGGTTAAAACCAATTGTTTTTTTATAGATGCGCAACTTTTGTTAACATTAATAATATTTGAATGTATTTAAAAAAATATATTGCAATTTTCCATATGATTAAGCGAAAGAACGTAAATGATTTGTTATTGAGAAATGCTCAATATTTTGGAACTGGAAGATTTTTGAGCCCACTGGAACTGTTTGGAAGAATTCGTCAATAGTTCACAATCACATCATCTGTTCACAGCACTTTGTTCATTACACTAAAATTCGTACACTAACACATGGTCACGTTAGATCGCGTTTCACGGACGTACCGTACGCACGGCGCGATCGTCAAGCGCCTAAAGCCATTTGGCCAGCCGGACACAAAGAACCCCAACTGGCGGGGCGGGGCCAACACACGCCCCGCCCATAACCTTCCGCCAACCAATCAGTAAGCTGCGTCCATCTCAACCCGCACTGGGATGTATTCAGAGTATTTTTATTTTTCGTACTCATCGCGATTTCTTTAAAACTTTTTCTGTTATTTCTTTAAATCGCTTTTATTCAGTGGCTTCTAAAATGCCAGTACTGACGTTTACAAGGAAAGGAATATCATAACGTATTGTTTATGTCTTTTTGTACTTTGCTGATTGTAGATACGGTTATTTTGATTATTAAGATGCGGGAACTTTAATTGTTACTACAAAATTGTTTTGCAGTACACAATTACACTGTTGGACTACTCTTTTTAATTAATTATGTATTTGAAAGTTTATTAGTGTAATGTATACGTTCTTAAACATAAGTTTGGGTGTTGAATAAACTGGGTAATATAATGTGTGTGTCAAATACGTCCCCCGTGAATGGTGGTGACGTCACAAGATGGCTGCCCTATGGGGGTGAATTTTCCCATTTTCCCCTCGGCCGTCGGCCGGCGCGGTCGTGCGGCCTTCGGACTGTAACCCCCTAAAAAGCGATTATGTACCTACGCTAGGCCAACTGGAGTTTTTGTAATAGCTTCAATACAAAGGAAATTATGTTCATACAATAGAACTTATAAATTTGTGTATTGATTAAAGACGCTTCTGAGTAGAACTCATTTAAGGTTTGTAGTGAACATATATGTTCATGTTAAATTAAATGATTTAATATCTCTTACCTACCACAGAGTAGGTATAACAAAATTTATTAAAAAAAAGTAGCATTTAAAGTTAAGTAGTATTTATAATATCTTAAGGAACTTTCAAATCAAATCAAAATAATTTATTAATATAGGTAACACAATGTACAATTATGAACGTCAAAAAGAAACACATACCTATTAAATGCTAAATGCTTCTAATTTTACATTTACTGTCAGTTCTCGAATCAAGGGCGTAGAACGGAAGAGAATAACTGGCAATAAACTCTGCGCCACTTTTTTTTTCGATTTCCATAGTAAATAGAATAAAGTATGTATGTAAAATATATAAAATATATATTCAGCCACAAATAGCTGGTGACAGTTAACAATAACTGTGCTTTATGTTTATGTTTGAATGTGTATTCCGTTTTTGGATTTTGTGTATAATGTAATTGTTTGGATATTGTTTATTGAGTAGCTGTAGGAATACTGTGGAGCAAATAAATAAATAAAAGGAAGACGGTTTTAAAAGAACTATGCTACTTCAAATAAACTTCTGCAGCCCTTGCTGAACTACGCAGTGGCTAGACGACATTGCTATAGTGCGTTCGAATCCTGGCTATTCACCAATTTTTTTCTATATTCGCAATTTATTGGTGTTGTATTGACAACATTTATTAACACTTTGATAGCTAAGTATAAATAAACTAAAATCAAGATACACAACAACACTAAGTGAATTAAAACATCACGGCATAAGTACCTACGTCTTAAAGACCCAAATAGGGTCACCATATCTATAAGGAGTATGATCAAGGAGACATAGAAATCGGCTACGACCAAAGTAGAACCACCTGAACGCTACTTCCGGCGAAATACTTGTTTCTGATTGGAAAGTAGTATTTACCTGCCTGTAAAAAACTATCAATGCGAGAAGGATCATTCATGGACCCTCAAACCTTTAATATAAAGGCCCTAAGCCTAATGGAGCATGGGACTTTCACTGACATTTTTTTAGGATCAATTAGATGTATTATTTGAGAATTAATTTTAACTTGCACAAACATATATTCGCCATAAGTAAGCCATAACTATTTTACTATTTCCGAATTTAGGGTCCTTCAAGTAAAGAGCATACCAATTCTTAAAAGGCCGGCAATGCGCTTGCGAACCTTCTGGCAGTGTGAGTGTCCATGGGCGGTATCACTTAACATCAGGTGAGCCTCCTGTTACATAAGTAAAAACCCAGAAATGTCATAAATATTTTCATAGATAGATCAATAATCTATTTCAAATATTATTTATTGCATAGTTACGTACAATACAATAACTAAAATTACCAATAATACTACTCCCTCCAGACCGGTTTCGGTCCATCAAAAATATTAATAATAATAAGTACAACAAAAAGCAAACTAAGTGATAAATGCCTCCTGCTTTGAATAAAAATAATAATTCGTAAAAAAATTCTTACAGACCGCGTCAAACGCCTCACTTGCGTCAAAACCGCTGTATTTTTAAAACCTACAATAACAATGCAATAAAAGCCCAATAAACAAGCGAAGACAGGGTCGCAGCTAGTCTGGCATATCGTTTTGATTTATTCCCACCCCCATAACATCCACGACGTAAATCAGAGCGGAATTACCTAAACTCACGCATTAACAAACTACTTTTTATTTTGCTTACACAAGGGAGAGGTGACAGCGTGTTACGACAGTTTTGACAGGTAACGATTGAAGCTACTGTGCATGATGCGGAAGTGTTTGAGAGGCTGAAGATTGTACACAGGTTAACACTAGGTGCAGGTAGAAAGGAACAATTGCTGGCTAAGCCACTGTTATGTTTGCTGGACAGTTTAGTTTTCATTATGATTATTTTTTTGTTTTTGATATTGAATTTACTTATTAAATGAGGTAAATATTATTTCTGGTATCCGTTTTTAATTGTACCTTCCACTGTTTACATATGTTTTATTTGGTATATTCTTTACGTCTAAGTAATTTTATTATACCTGCGTAGTTTTGCACTTCTTGCGATAACTTTTTTTCTCACAGTGGTTCGCTCACAGATCGCTCGAAAATGATTAGGCCGCCAGTTGCCCTCTTTTTTATTTAATTACTTTACTTGTCTGTATTTCTGGATTACGACGTGTAAATAAATATTCATAATGTTTTGTGATTGTGATATGTGACTGCAGTCGCGTAGTCCCATCGTACTATGAGAGTTATGAATTAGTCTGTTCACTTGCGTCTACGCATACACTTGTATAATACGTCCGTATTGTCTTGATTGAGGTAGACCACCGAGTCGGCCTCTAAAACATTAATACCTATTTTAATAAGGTTTTAATCGAAAGATAATTTCGCGTTGTTTTAGGTAAGTAAAAATTGCTTCCATTCACAAAATTTTACATAGCAGCACCTACCTAACCAATATTTTTGTAAATCTATTTCCAAACGTCCATATTGTAATTGGTATCTCATGTCATAGATCTCGTGTTGAGTGCCGCTGTCAAACTTCATACAGAAAAAAATGGTTTGACAGCTCTAGAAACTACATTTATGTTTGTTTGGCGTTGTGTGTGTGCACGTTAATAGTGTGATTGCACGTTAGTCTTAAGTGCTAAACAGTAGAAAGTGAAAAAATATTAGTGTAGCAGTGAGCAGAGTGTCTTCGCATAATAGTGTTATTGGACACTTTCTTATGTTAAATATCCTTATTAGTAAATTGAAAAATGATGGACGTTACTGAATGCCTTAGTAAATTTTTTTACTTGTATTGGTTTAACTTCTCTCTCGTTAGGTTAGTTTAAAGACATTGTAAAAAAAAACAATATTAATTAGGATCCCCTTTTATAACTTGTACCACAAAAACGGTGAAATTCGGGGACAAGTGTCCATAAAAATGGTATAATTTTCATTTTATTGTTTGAATGCCGCACAAGAATTATTTCTAGTTAGTATGAAATCATATTTATTTAAAATAACATTAGCTGGTATTAAGTTAATTAATTCATTTAGGCCTTTATTTGTGTATTTGTTTATGTGTCAAGGTTTATTATTTTAATTACTTCATTTTTTAAATCATATAGTACATTTCACCAATTTTTTGTTCTGTAGATAACGCAAAAGCCCTGGATTCGATGTTAAGGGAAAGCGAGGTATTCAAAAATGTTAATAAATGCTTAACTTGACATCGCAGTCGCAATATTTCAAGTGATACTTGAAAATAAATGTATAGCTTATGGATTAAAAAAATTTAAAAAGTCCATTAATAGAAAAGTTGAAAACCTTGTATACTCTGATTTTTAATTCCGTAGAATTCTGACAGCTATCATTTTTTGCCATGTCAGAGATAACAAACATTTCTGGCCAGGCACATTTTTCAATTTCAATACGAGTCTGAATATCTGACTCTATACATACATTTTATTTGTTAGTGAATGTATCGATTTTATTAAGTGCGTTTCTCAACATTAAAAGTGGTTTTAAGGCGACTGATAAAGACGTCCCTTTTCATCACAAAAACGCACAAGTAAAGGTAACATTTTTTTTTAAAGGTTTACTAAACCTGAAATTGGTAGGCAGTGATGCCAGCTAAAGAATAAAATAAAGCAATTAAAGTAAATTTGTTCGTGATATTGTAATATTTGTTATTTTTGTATTAGGTCACTTGAGTAAGTAAATATTAAGATTTACCTTTTTGTAGGTAAAACATAAAAAATACGTAGCATTTTATTTTATTGCCCTAAAATGGGTCAAATTTGTCCCTTTTTCGGTGGAGAACTTTTTTGGTGGCAACATTTAGGTATGAAATGTCACAATTCTATGGAATTAAAAATCAGAGTATAGACAAATCATAAATAGCGTATTATTAAGGTATATTCTAGATCGTCAATCAAACTTAAATCTATTTCTAATTCAATTTTTTCTGTATGAAGTTTGCAAATTAGACAGCCCTTCGAGACAATAGAAACGAATTACAATAATATGAAACTTGGTAAGAATGACGAATATGCTACGGATTTTATTTATTTATTTACAGATAAAAAAAATCTTTACTAAGAGATCTCATCAACACAACCGCAATACAAAAAAAAAAATAACAAATATGCAAGGGCGTCTTATAGTACTCAGTAAAAACGTATATTAATTTACAATAAAATGAACCTACTAGCGCCATCTAGTGATATGTGAATACACTACCAAGCGGCATCGCTTTTACAAGCTCGCTGCGTGTTGCTTTTTAATACACCTATTGATTGGCTGTTAGGAATAAAAGCTGTAATTATAACTGTAAATACTTTACTAAGTACTTAATTAAGTATTACTACAACCTAATATTAGATACAGAAGAATAAATATAAAGAAGTATGACGCGTTATTGAATA